CACACACACACACACACACACACACACACACACACACACACACACACACACACACACACACACACACACACACACACACACGACACGACACACACACACACACACACACACACACACACACACACACACACACACACACGCACGCAATCACGCGCGCGCGCACACATACACACGCACGAGCGCACGCACGCACGCACGAACGAACGCACGCACGCACGCACGCATATCCGTAAATACCTACCAGCAGTGAGGAGTGCGATTAACAATGGCAGCATCATGACGGCTCTACACAGCATACACGCGAACGCACGCAGAGAGACAACTGCTGGGTTGACAGCACCCACCGCAACACTGACTGCTGAGTTTGGCTCCGGCGATTTTATAGGCTACTGACGTCACGTAGGCCTAACCTGCCGATGACCGCTACCAATCCGGAACTTCCGTGGCAAGCTTTCCCCTGCGATGCTGATTGGTTGATGCCGATAGTAAAGAGTTAAGATTAAGTTGTCATGTACAACAAGAACACCAACAACGTGATGTTTTACATCCGGGTAACTATCACGCACACACACGACTATACGCACGCACGCATACACCACCGCACCCACCACAAGCCACTACCACAAGGAAGAGAAAGGAATGCGTTTATATATTTCTTACCACATTTTTATCCAATAGCGCGCAGTTTTGTCGATAGATATTTCTGTGCTTAATTAAATTAAAGGATGAGCATCCCCGTTGTCTCATAGACTGCCGTGTTGCGCCACCTACCGGTTACGCGCGTACTTTTTAAACAGAACTAGACAGAGGGCACTCATGTAATATGTATGTGCTCGCTGGTGGCGGCTACTGACTGACTCGGCTACTGCTGACTCGCTGCTCACTGGTGGCTGCTGCTGACTCGCCACTCGCTGACTCGACGCGCTATCGATTCGCCGCTCACTGGTGACTGCTGCTGACTCGCCACTCGCTGACTCGACGCGCTATCGATTCGCCGCTCACTGGCGGCTGCTGCTGACTCGCCACTCGCTGACTCGACGCGCTATCGATCGCGCGGTGGCTACACACACACACGCGAGCGATTGCATGAGCTCCGTTTGCGCGGAGCTAAAAAGGGCGCGGAGAAAGTCTAATACCACAGCCTGTTGTAGCAGGACGCGCCCTGATTGGTGGTAATTATATGGATCAGGTCAAAGGTCAATGAGCCCAGTGTTCTGAACGATGCGATCAAGGACGCACTGCCTTCAAGGGAGTTCTATGTGCGCATGCGCGCGCGTGAACTTTCTCCTGACCCAGAGATGCAGAGACGCATGGGTTCCCGGATGGACGAGCGATAATACAGTCCACGAGCGATAAAGAGCCGGAACAGGCGGGATGGGTAATAGATAACTCATATATATACTAGCGGCTAGTACTACAAGGCTTTTATAGATGGGAATGTAAGACTATGCGTATATCTATTGCAGGGCGCTCTATCCGTAACTGCGCGGGTGAATTTGGTGGGTGCCCGCCACGGTGTAAGAGCCAAAACATTTGTGAACGCTATATCAGAAGTTTTCTTCTTAATTTCTCTTGAATTGAAGTGTCCTGCAAAAGTTATGACATTTTTGACTCGTGATATTTAAAATTACTTGTGATTTTTCCACAAAGCACTGCAAACACAGTGAGAAGGACACACCGGTGTAAGTGCTTGTTGTGTATCTATGGAAGGGTAATGCTGCCAGAAATATATAATCATGTATTCAAACCAGGGTAGCGTGAAAGCATTGTCAAAATAAATAAAGAAAGTCGGTAACTTCAAAGTCATAGACAACAACAGAGAATGCTGGCATTAAATTTTGCAGTGTTATATTATATAATATCAACTCACGCGTACACTCACAGATATCACACTTCATTAAGTCTTCATTATAACTCGATATAAGTTCATTATAACTCATGACCGTGCGCACAACAAGGTTCTAAGTTGGCACTATGAACCGCTGCACAGAGAAGCTGTTACATACACATAGCCACACAACGCGCACCACTATACATAACATAGTGTATATGATGATTGCACCAGCCGACTTAACAACGTGCTCAATGTTGAGCGTACGCTACACAGGTAAATTCCATCACTCCGCTACAGGTGTGCTGCACAGATACAACTAGCAGGTATAGACCACCACTGTCTTACACAGGTGTACGCATTTTTAATGCCACACCCGTTCCACCATCCAGTATCTTATAACAGGGAAATGTATATGCGTAATACGCACAATAAAAAATAAAAAATAATTAATTAAAGGACAGGTAAATTCCATCATTCCGCTACATGTGTTGCACAGATACAACTAGCAGGTATAGACCACCACTGTCTTACACAGGTGTACCCATTTTTAACGCCACACCCGTTCCACCATCCAGTAACTTATGACAGTGCAATGTATGCGTAATACGCACAATTAAAAATAGATAGTAAAATTACTGCCAGGTTGAGAATAGAAGTAAAAATGTTACAATACAAATAAATACAAGACAACAAACGGTAACGTTGATTGTGTTCACGCTAGCATATCAACTCCTTTTACTAAGTATTTCACGTAATTCAGTTGTCAGTTGTGTGTTCTGTTGTCAGTAAACTTTTGAATTCTACTATATAGCCTATAGTAAAATCCATAACAATTCCAGCCAGTCCTGCTTAAAGGTGACCAGCAACAATTGTTTATATATGGTTATAATATTTTCTTAACTGTGACTTGCACAAATATTATGAAAATCATGATCAACCTTACATTATTGACACCCAACTTATCCATGCGGGACAAATAGAGAAATGAGCATTGACATTCCACTTAGGAGCCCCATACCAACAAGCTCAGCATAAACGACACATCTATAGCTCTCGCCATGATTTTCTATTTTAGATTGCATTCATTAATATAAGCAAACGTACATAGAAATTTTTACAGTTTAATATTGGCAAGAAATTGGCCAATAAAAGGCAACTAAAAATTTGGTTTGAATGACGACGTTGCCTGTGCTGCCTTCAATTTGTGTTCACTAAAGAAATATATTGTTTACAAACAACCATCCGCTCGTCAAGTCACGTCTTGTCTCGTTACAGTCTCACAGTTCTCCCGTTCAAATCCCCTTCCACTCTTTATATATGACGCTCTCGTCCAATCACAGCCCAGTTCCCCCTTACTCTCACCAATCACACACCACTCTCTCCCTGATTCGAATATTGCGCGGGAAAGTCCATATGGTGAACATCTGTAACCTGACATCCGTAAACTATCCGTGTAGAACCCAACCTAACTACTTCTCATCTGTATGTTAAACACCCAACCCTTCTCCTATATACAACCAATCTATCTAGGATTACCAATTCAATGAACATGTGCAAAACATACGTTACAATGGTGATGGCAATGAGAAACTCTCATACTATGCTTATCTACTACATTCTATGTTCCACCGACAGCCAAGCAGTATAACGACAATTAGTCCGCGATGCATGAGATCAGTACCTATTGTAAATGCTAGTTTTGTCAGTATAAAGTACCGAAGTCTGACGTCACGGTGGCATGACAACGAACCCACTGGTTCTAAACAACCCACTGGCTCCATAACATTAGTCGCGTTTACACGGTCATGGTTAGATTTGGCTCGGGCCAAATTTGGCTCAGGCCGGTTTGAGTCGGAGCGTTCACACGTACGCAAGTGAATACTGTCTGTCAAATTCAAATTCAAATTCAAATAAATTTTATTGCACAAATATCTCACAGATACTTTGGCAGTATGTCGCGAGATGGCGTTGTGTACGATTTAGAGGTGGATATATGCAGAGCACATAAATCACCATAAAACGATCAAGACTGTATTGCTGCAAGATCACAGATTCGACATAACGGCTACCGACCACAGCCCCGTATGTAAACAAATTTGTAAAGCTCCATCTACGCTTGTTTGATGCATATTTATAGTCGTTAGTCTGCCCATAACAAAATTCGACTTTCCTTTTAATTAGATTACCTCCCGATGAAACAAATTTCAGTTGCGGCTCGTGATTATTTAACGATTCAAACGACGAACAATAAGGAACTTCCCCATCGTTATAATAGAGCCGCCATGCTATCAATCCAACGACAGACGACGGCTACTACGTGGCGCTAGTAGTTCAATTCCAAAATGGGAAAAGGCCAAGTGACCGTGCTCGGTGATTTATGTGCTCTGATATATGTTTCCATTAAGCCGGCTGATCGCGTGACGTCAGTGTACGTCAGTGTGACGTCAGTGGCTATCCACCACCATAGACCAATCACGCACGCACATCCATGTATGCATATATAGCACATCCATAATAAATTTTCTAAAGACGCTGAGTACCCTCGCTCGTACGCCGGCGGCCGTTACTTCTGTAGGTCGTTGGTTCGAATCCCATCTGTTTACATTTTTATTTTTTATTTTTCTATCTTTATTCATTTAACTATTTTTCCCCAATTAACGCAAATATTTACATGATTTATTTACAATTTCACATTCCTTTTTTTTAAATAAATTAAATTTATTAGTGTTAATTAAATTTAATTAGGGTTAGGGTTAGGGTTAGGGTTAGGGTTTTTGCATCATTCTTTAATATATACGAAAAGTCTGATGCATGAGCAACCATCAGCAGGCTGTATGCGTACATGCATTCAACTTCTGAGATAGCCGAGTTCGTGCGTGACGTACACTGACGTCACGCGATCAGTGACATCAGTCTTTCTAATGGAAACATATGCCCACCCGATTCAGAGTGTTTACTTCCGTTCAATTATCAAACGTGCATCCTGATCAAATTTTTCGAATTTTTATACTGTTTTGGACTTTATTTCGTCGAAGTACACGTTCGACACTCCCGGCATCTACCGCTCAACCGATTCTACCGCTCTACCGCTCGCCGAAAGCTGGTGCTAAAATTTGGCTCGGGCCTGGTCCGACGTTTTCGATGGGACCAAATCTGGCACGGGCCTAATCAGGCTCGGGCCAAAAACGTCCGTGTGAACGCTCGACTCGAGCCAAATTTGGCGCGGGCCTAATTAGGCTCGGGCCAAAAACGTCCGTGTGAACGCTCGACTCGAGCCAAATTTGGCGCGGGCCTAATTAGGCTCGGGCCAAAAACGTCCGTGTGAACGCTCGACTCGAGCCAAATTTGGCGCGGGCCTAATTAGGCTCGGGCCAAAAACGTCCGTGTGAACG